ACATTCTCGATGGCCTTGATCTTGTCGGGGTTGATTTCGATCCCTCAATTTGATACCATGAATCCGAGGAACTTGCCCGAACCGACCCCAAAGGCCATTTCTCTGGGTTAAGCTTCATGTTGTACTCCCTCAAGATTTTGAATGTTTCCTGCAAGTGAGTTAAATGGTCCTCTGCGCGCAAGGACTTAACCAACATATCGTCAATGTAAACTTCCATTGATTTACCTATCTGTTCCTCGAACATTCTGTTAACTAAGCGTTGGTATGTTGCTCCAGCATTTTTTAGCCCGAAGGGCATTACATTGTAACAGTATGTTCCAAACTTAGTGATAAATGAGGTTTTTTCCTGGTCCTCCAGGTTCATCTGGATTTGATTATATCCGGAGTAGGCGTCGAGAAAGGTTAGTATCTCGTGGCCGGTCGTGGCATCGATCATGCGATCGATGTTAGGCAATGGAAAAGAGTCTTTAGGGCATGCTTTGTTTAAATCCTTATAATCTACGCACATTCTAAGTTTGTTTCCCTTTTCAGGAACTACAACTACATTGGCTAACCATTCGGGGTATTTTACCTTCCTAATAGACCCTATTTTAAGAAGTTTGGTTACCTCATCTTTTATGAATGCATGCTTCACCTCTGACTGGGGCCTTTTTCTTGCTTTACCGGTTTGAACCTGGGGTCGAGGCTTAGCCTGTGTGTTGTTATTTTCGGTGGGATCCCTATCATGTCTAAATGGGACCAAGCAAAACAATCCATATTATCAATAAGAAATTGAATGAGTTTTTTCCTGAATTCGGAGGTTAACCTCGTACCCAGGTATACCTTTCTCTCGGGCATGTATTCGATCAGTATGACCTGCTCCAATTCCTCGACCGTCGACTTGGTTTCATCGAACTCTTCGGGAACGACGAAAGTTTGAGGAGTAAGGAGATCCTCTTCTTCGTCTTCGATTACCTGCTGCTCCGATTCGGTCGAGGCTGGGGGTGGTGATTGCTATTCAGCTGTCTGCTTATCTTTGGTGCTTGACTTTTCTGAGGTCGAAGGAGCTGGTACCGGTATCACCTCTTCGACTGCAAACATCTCTTTTTGCAGCATGTTGTTCTCCGTAAACCGTTTTCACACCATCCACTGTTGGGAATTTCATCATTTGATGAAGGGTTGAAGGTACTTCCCTCGTGTTGTGTATCCATGGTCTACCGAGAAGTGCATTATACCTCATGTCGCCTTCGATGACATGGAATTTTGTATCTTGGATGGTCCCGGCACGTTCACTGGTAAGATTATCTCACCCTTTGTTGTTTCGCTTGCCATGTTGAAGCCATTTAGGACTCGGGATGCTGGTACAATTTGGTCCTGAAGGCGGAGCTACTCTACGACCCTCGATCTGATTATGTTTACTAAGCTACCTGGATCCACTAGAACACGTTTAACTTGAATTTTATTTAACAAAATAGAAATTACCAGGGCGTCATTATGCGGCTGAGATATGCCTTTCGCTTCCTCGTCATTGAATGCTAGGACGCCCTCGGGCACATAGCTCTGGGTCTATTTTTCTCTAGTGATCGACACCTTGGTACGTTTGAATACAAGCCCTTGTGAAACATCGACACCGCCAACGATCATATGAATTACGTGTTGCAGTTCTTACTACTCATTTTTTCTGTTTGCATCTCTTTCGCTGAAGTGGTTCTTTGCTCGATCACTGAGAAATTCTCGAAGATGGCCTTCGTTGAACAACCGAGCTACCTCCTCCCTCAGTTGCCTGCAATCTTCGGTTCTATGGCCATGTGTGCCATGATACTTACAAATCAAATTTGTATTCCTTTGAGAAGTATCGTTTGTATAGGCCTGGGCCACCTGGTGTCTTTGATTCTTCCAATAGCTGACACGATCCCTGATGCATCTACACTGAAATTATACTCCGACAATCGAGGTGCTTCCGCAGGGTCGGTATGTTTATCAAAACCATTCTTACTCATGAGTCCCCGAGAGTTTTGACCTCGATCATTTATGCCCCGAACCGTTGTTTCTTCGATCGACATATGGTTGATACCGTTCCTTGTTTGATCTTGATTCCCTGTTTGTATCCCTTGGGGGCTTAGATGCCAATCTATTAGGATGAACTGAACCCGATAGGGCTCCCAACTGGTCGTCCTCGACCCTGATCTTCAATTGGTAATGATTATGTACGTCTGACCACGTCACATCTAGGTACTCGATCAGATTCTGCTTTAATTGTCGTGACACGATCGAACTCCGCTCGTTCAAACCCTGCATAAAAGCCTGTACTGCCTAGTCATCCGAGATCGGTGGTAATTCCATTCGCTCCATTTGAAACTGAGACACGAACTTCCTTAACATCTCATTGTTCCTCTATCTTATCTTATAAACGTCCAATTTCCTTGTCGCCACCTTTATGGCCCCGACATGTGCTTTCACGAAGGCGTATGCTAACATAGCAAACTAATCGATCGAGTTCGGGGGCAAGTTGTGGTACCAAATCATGGCTCCTTTCGACAAAGTTTCCCCAATTTTTTTAAACAATACTGATTCGATCTCATCATCATTCAAGTCATTTCCTTTAACCCCGCAAGTGTATGAGGTAATATGTTCATTAGGGTCGGTTGTCCCGTTGTATTTAGGTATATCAGGCATGCAAAATTTTTTAGGAATGGGCTTCAGAGCCGCGCTCGGAGGGAATGGCTTTTGTATGAACTTTTTGGCATCCAAACCTTTCAAGACCGAGGGTGCCCCCGGTATTTGATCAACACGGGAGTTATAAGTCTCAACTTTCTTATCATTATCCTCAATCTTCTTCTCCCCGGACTCGATTCTCTTGGTGAGTTCCTTGAGCATCCTCATAATTGTGGGAGCAGTCCCCGAGCCATTACCGTTTTTTTTTAAAAAAATCCACTAGGCATAGTGCCTAGGGCTGATTTTCATATATAAAACATAAAGTACAACAAAGGAGGAGGGCATAAACCTGACCTGGAGAAATATGGTACAAGGACACCTGATTATCCAACTATGATATTCAGGTGAGACCTGCATGCTATGATGAGTTAGACCTATAATGATGATCCTATTGACTATCCCACAATGGTAGCCAATTGGATATACAAAACCATAATGAAGTGAACCTAGGTCAACTATACAAAAAAGTACAAGAAAACCTAATTCTACCATAGTGTTGGTTTGGAAGTTAGTCTTCCATATACATAAAATTCTACACCAAACAACATGTAAAAAGTCCCTAGAAAAATATGCAAAAACCATGTGATGTTTGAGGGAACCATCTTCAACTTTGCTTTGACATTGGTGCCAAAGAAAGCCAAATTGAAGATGGCTAACAAAAGGGGGCCAAGATGTTGGGCTTGTGTTTTGATTCTGCTTGAGATTCTTGACAGAAAAGAGGGAACACTGTCCTGAAATGTTGACAACTGGATCCCTGCATTCAATCAGCAACACTGTGGTTGAAAACTGCTGGAGACAGAACTGCTGAATCTGAGCCTACTTGCTAGTCTGAAATTGTTGTGAGTGTTGGGTTGTCATTGAAACAGTTGAGAGTGAGTAGGTGAGAAAGATTGGAGAGACTGTGATCAACTGATAGATTTTCAGCAGAATGAGCATTAAGAATGCTGATACAACTGTCTGAAAAGTCATCAGTTGATCCAGTGAACTCCAAATACCTGTAAAAAATAGCAAACATGTTAGTGAAGGGGGGCTCAAACTCCAGGTTCTTGTGGGTTCTAGAGTTGAGTCTGGGGAGAGGGGAGCAATTGTGATCTCTGTTCTAAACTCTGATTGCAGGTTTATGAATAAACTGCAATCGGTAGTATAGATGCTCATGAAGAAAGGAGAACCATGGATTGAAAGAATCTGACTGCAGGTGTTAAGGAAATTGCAGAACTGGTGGAATTCTGCATCACCTGCAGCTAGGAAGGGTGAGTGTTGCTGCAGATTTGTGATGAACTTACTGTGGGAGGGGTGAGAGAGCATCAACTGGTTTGGTTCTGAGAAAGTGAACATAAGGGATGTTAATATCACTCTCAGGAACCATACCAATTGTGTGAATAAGGAGAGGTATGAGGTATAGTGTAACTGGGCAGAATTGTCCAGTTTTTTGGAACAATTGTGATTGAGGGGTTCAGAAGGATGTGTTTTATGGAGAAACAAAAGGATGGGAGGCTCATCTAGGTTCTTGTGGGTTCTAGAAGCCTTGAATTGGTGGGAAATGTGAGCCTTGGTGGGAACAGTTCTGAGGAAAATGTTTTCCTGCAATTGATGTGTATCAGAGGGTTTTTGGTGATGTATGGTGTGGAAAGGAGGTGTGCTATAGTGGGGATAATCTCTTTCCATTTGATAGACTATCAGAACTGTCAAAATTTGATAGTTTATCAATTGGTTGAGGGTAAACTGAAACAAGAAACCTGCAAAAAAGTAAACAAAGTTAGTGGAAATTTTGGCATTTCTGCCCCTGTTTCCATTGCTTTTGTTTCTTTGTGATTTCTGATTGGTTGCCTTCAAGGTGTTGTGGTTGCTAATTTCAGGCACTTGGATTGACATGAAGAGGTGGTTAATTTTAGCAGGGGCAGAACTGTCTGCTGTTTGCTGAGACATTGTCTGATGCTGACTGATTTTTTGGACAAATTTGTAGGGCTCCCTTTCTGAATCTATATTAGCCATAACCATGGGAAGAGGTATTAGGAGAATAGGAATGGTTTTGGAGTTGGTTTGTTAGCTTGTGTCTGAAGGCTGGAATGCCAGATTTATCCATGAGGATTGACCTCTGATGTGGGAAGGGAGGTCCTGCAGGTTATTGTAGTGAGTAATGGTGTGAAGATCATGGCTAAGTTTTGAGAGGGAATCTGCAGGAGCATTGCCTTCTCTGTAGACATGACTGAAGTAGATGGATTCACACTGCTGGCAAAGCTCCTTGAGCTTATGAATGTGCATTGCAAGGGTCCAAGTAGGGGTTGCAGAAGAGGTTAACCAGTGGATCAGAAGAGCAGAATCAGCTTCCAAATGGACTTTGGAAAAACCATTGTCAAGCACCATTTGACACCTAAAAAAGTAGCTTCAGTTTCAGCAAGGTTATTTGTTCCTTCACCTAAGGGACTAGCAATGGCATGAATTAAGTCCCCTTGATGATTTCTAATGATGGCCCCAGCTCCCATTCTTCCTGGATTACTCAAGGCACTTCCATCACTGTTAATTTTGACAAGACCAAGGGTAGGTCTTTGCCAATAGACCTGGGTGGTTTTGTTGAGAAAATTCAGACTCTCAGTTAAGGAACAAATCCCAGACCATTCAGATGGCCAAGTGATGTTAGGGTAGGTGGTTTTGAGGAGAAGGTTAATGTCAGAGTTAATGGAGAAAACAACTCTGGCCATGGAAGAATGTTTGGTGCCATATTTTGCTCCACACCTATTCTTCCAGAGATTCCAGCAGATGATAATAGGGAAAGTGTCCAAGAGCAATTTGTGGATTTCATTTCTGGGCTTCTGAATCCACCATTTCATAAGAAGGTTTTGAAGTGGCATTTCTTCAAAAAGGAAACCAGCAGGGCCAGTGAAAATTTTCCAAACAGCCTTAGCAAAATGGCCTCTGCTGAAAATATGGTCAACAGATTCAGCCTGGGAATTAATGCAGCAAACACATCTGTTGACAGAAGGAGGTCCAAACCTGGCTACTCTATCATTAGTAGGAAGTTTATTCCTAAGGGCTCTCCATAGGCAAAAGGACCATTTGAAGGGAATTTTCTTGTGCCATGTCATTTTATTGGTAACAAGGATTGGCCTTTTGGTTCTAACAACCTCCCAAGCAGATGCACAGGTAAAGGAACCAGAAGCATTGGGTTTCCAAATTGGCTGGTCAGGGATTTGGGAGTTTTGGTAGATAGGGATATGAAGAATGGTGGGGATCATGTGGGCAGGGGCATGATTGTTGAGCATCTGCAGGTCCCATTGGCCGGAATTCCAAAACTGAGAGACCTTGATTTTACCAGGCCTACCACCCTGAGTTCTGTGGTTAGCAAGGTTTCCAGTACCTAGCCAATTATCCCACCAGAAAGAGGAATTCCCAGAATGAAGCCTCCAATAAATGTGAATCTCAGCCTCTTTTTTGTTGGACTTCATCTTCTTCCATGCTTGGGACTCACTAGAGTCCTACTTTTTTGAGACTGGATGTGATCTTTGGCAGTATTTTGCAGTTAAGAAACTGCTCCACAGAGATTGTTTTGTTCTAAAGCACCACCATTGTTTGAATTCAAGGGATTTGCATATGTCTTCAATGGATCTGAAACCTACTCCACCTTCATCCAGAGTGTTTGCTAATTTGTGCCAGGAGGCCCAGTGGTACTTATTTTTGTTCTGATCCATATCCCAGAAAAAATTGGAAGCAAGCTTTTCAATTTGTTTAATCACAGTTTTGGGAGGGGAAACTGCAGACAGGAGGTGAATGGGAAGAGATTGGAGGACATGCTTGATAAGGGTAGCCCTGCCCCCATGAGAAAGGAGCCTGCCTTGCCACCCTCTAATTCTACTGACCACTTTAGAGATGATGGGATTGAAATGAATGATCCTTTTCCTGCCAATATAGAGAGGGCATCCTAGGTATTTTATAGGGGACTCTTTCTTGGAAAACCCTGTAATCTGCTGAATTCTTCTTATGGTATGTGGAAATGCACAGGGGGATATCATGAAATGGCTTTTGCTTTTGTTGATCAACTGGCCAGAGGTGTGCTCATATGTCTGAAGGATGGTCATGATCTTTTTCAAAGAGGCTCTGCCACCAGAGGTAAAGATGATAATATCATCAGCAAAGCTAAGGTGTGTGACTTGAGGACCTCTTTTCTCCATATAAAATCCATTAAAGAACTGATCATGAGAGAGGTTATTAAGTAATCTGGAAAGGAGTTCTGCACCTAGAATGAAGAGAGCTGGAGATAGAGGGTCCCCCTATTTCAGACCTCTTGTAGAGTGAAAAAAGCCACATCTTGTACCATTGATGATCACAGAATACTAGTTATTTGAAAGGGTCCTCCAAACCATATCAATCATTCTTTCACTGAAACCCAATCTTCTCATCATAATGCAAGTGAAGGACCAGGAAACCCTATCATATGCCTTTGTCATGTCCAGTTTGATCACCACATTAGCTCCAACATTTGGTTTCTTAATGCCTTGAACAATCTCCTGAGCTAGCATGATGTTTTCTGAAATGTTCCTGCCTTTGACAAAACCAGTTTGGTTGGGTGAGATGATTTTGGGGAGAATTGGAGCAAGTCTGGAATAGATTAATTTGGAGATGACTTTGTTTATGAAGTTACTCAAACTAATTGGTCTGAATTCAGAGAGGGAGTTAGGGAATTCAACCTTTGGGAGGAGGACTAGGCAGGCATGGGACATGTATTTGGGCATAGAGTAACCACAAAAGAAGGTTGTGACTACACTGAATAGATCCTGCTTAATAATCTCCCAACAATGTTGATAAAATTTTCCATTTAGGCCATCAGGACCAGCAGCACTAGTGGGGCTCATGGAAAAGACTACCTCTTTGAGTTCCTCCATAGAAGGTTCTTTGTTCAGAAGTTCATTATCATCATCAGTAACCAGGGTTGGGATACAAGATAAAAGATCCTCCCTGATTCTACCCCCAGGATCGGTAAAGATGTTCTTGAAGTGGGTACAAGTAGCTTCACCAATGTTTTCATCACCTTGGATCCAGCTGTTGTTTTCATCTTTGATCTTGTGGATAAACAATTTTCTCCTTCTGCCTCTGATCAAGCTGTGGAAGTATTTAGAATTGGCATCCCCCTCTTTGAACCATTGCATCTGAGTTTTTTGCTTCAACGCTGATTCCTCAATCTTGAGGTATTTAGTATACTGGGCTGTGAGATGATGGAGGTTAGCCCTATCAGCATCAGTGTTTGTTTGAGTCCATGTTTCCTCTGCTTGCCTAACTTTATCCTCAAACTCTTTGGCCTTCTGAAAGATGTCACCATATTGTTGCCTTGACCATTTGCTAAGTTCAGTGCAAAGGGCTTTAATTTTCTGATGAAAGATCCACATTGGATTCCCTTGGAATGGTCTAGACCAGACAGATTGGACAAGTGGGATGAAGGTTTCATTTTCAATCCAGCAGTTCAAAAATTTGAAGTATCTTTTTGCTGAATCAGATCTTACATGCATTTCCAAAAGAAGGGGGGAATGATCTGAACCTGTTGAGGCAATATGAGAGATGATGGTGGCTTGAAAGGAAGTCAGCCAACTGTCATTGACTAGACCTCTGTCTAGTCTCTTCCACACTATAGCACAGGGCCCTCTTCCATTAGACCAGGTATACCTTGGACCATAAAAACCAAGGTCAGTGAGCCCAGAATCTTCCATCATACATAGGAAGTCAATGCTTTTGTTGATCTGGTATGGGAGGCCTCCAATTTTCTCTTCAATTGAAGCAATTACATTGAAATCCCCAATAACACACCAAGGGGTGGAGATGGCTACATATTTGAGCCTGAGATTTTTCCAAAGAGGTCTTCTCAGGAGAGGCTTACATTTAGCATAGATGACAGAGATGTGAAAGAGTCCCTAGCTTCAACATATCTCAACTCCAAGGTGACTTGTTGATCATCAGAGTCAATAACAGTGCCAGAGAAGTCTTGATCCCGGAAAATCCAAATTTTGTTATTGATATTAGAGACTGAATTGTGCATGGAGAGTTGGATTTTGAAGTGGTTAAGGTGAGAATCATGGAGAGTTGGGTTAGAGACTGAATTGTGCAGGAAGGGTTCCAGAACTGCTATGAGAGATATTTTGTGGAGTTTTCTGAGGATTTTTAGCCTTTCAATGGCTCTAGAGGTCCTGATGCCTCTGACATTCCATGTAAGTGTGCTAATCATTAAAAATGGGAGCAGAGTTTATGGTTTGGTGGGACACTGCTGCTGGAAATAGCCTTGCTTCTGGTTATTCTTGGAGATGATCTCATTCTGGAGGCTGACTTTTTAGAGTTCATGGTTTCATCTTGACTAAAGGAGCCATTCACAGCCGAGATCAAAAGATCACAATGTTGGTCTTCTTCTGATTGATCACTAATATCAGCATCTTCTGCCTCTTCCTCAAAATCACCTCTCATCTCATCCTCAGATAGAATGGGCTTGTATTCATCCTCCTGAGGACAATTTTTGTTGAGTGGGCACTCTTCAGGAACATGTTCTAAAGAATGCATGAGGTGTTCATTGTGGATTGGGGCTTGTGTGGGTATGGGACTTTTAGGATTTTGTGGATTAGTCTGCATTAAGGAAGAGGTAGTCTCATTGTTTGGGTTGTCAATGTCACTGTTGTCATGGTTACTGAGAAGGGATTGGGAGAGAGAGGGATTGGCAATGGTTGGGATATCTCTGGGATTGCTGAGAGAGTTGGATTTATCAGAGGCATCAGATACAGAACCCGAGATGCCTCCAGATTGGAACAAAGGACCTTGCTTATCTGATGGCTCATTGATACTAATTCCAGCATTTTGCTTTTTCATTGCCCGTCTCTTTTTCTTACTTGGCTTGTTTTTGGATTTGGGAGGCTGTATCTTGAAATCAGAGACAGCATGACCTTTGCCTTTGAGCAAGGCTCTCATGTGAGAATGTTGATCTTCACCAGAACTCATAACCTATTGTGATTCCATCTGATTATCAGCAACTGTTGGTGGTTGAACATTTTGAGTAACATGGGTTGCAGGGGCTTGAGAGTCCACCCTATGGTTATCCAAATGTGCAGAAGCACACTCATGCAGAGCATGAGGAACACCCACCCCTTTAGGATCCCCAACCTGAGTTTCTATTGGTTTCTCCTGACAGACCACCTTGCCTCCAAAAACTTCAGAAGCAACAACAGGGGGGGAGGGGATGAGGGGGCCAAGGGGATGGGATGATTCTGGGCACCAGAATCAGCACTCCTCTCCAGTGAGGCTGGAGGATTGATAGAAGTCATACCTGAGGATTGGTTGACCATTTGTTGAATATCATTTGATTCCAAATGTTGTTGCTGTGTTGTGTGCTGTTTTGGAATGTACACCTGCTGTTGTTTTTTATTTTGGTTGGTGCCTTTGAAGTTCTTTCTTTTTTGGGTTTGCCATTCCTCCTTTGAAATCTCAGCAACTGTATTTTGATTATCAGCATTTGCTTGATGTTCTGCTTCCAGGTTGGTTTTCTTTTGGTCAGGTGCATTTATTTTTGATGGTCCCCCCTGTTCTTTCTTTTGGTTTTTGCTTGTTGCTGCATCTTCATTTTGTTTCCTTTGATTGGTAGCCTGAGACTGTGTTGTTCCAGCAATTTCTTCCTTCTTTTTCTTTTTCTCCTCTTCTTGAAGTCTAGTTTCACAATTGTACTCTTAATGGCCCAAATGTCTGCAATGGACACAGTAGGCAGGAATACTCTCATATTGAACTTCTAACCATTCACCATCACCATTCTCATCTTGATCTTCATCATATCCAAGCCACACATGATGGGGCGTTCCCTTTGTGAGATCAATTTGAATCTTAACCTTTGCAACATTTCCCCTTGTTTTCTGAAAAGATGCTAGGTCCAGATATATAGCTTTGCCAATTGGGGACAGTAGAGGTGTGAGGATTTCCATATAGTACAGATGCCATGGGATTTCAGGGATAACTACCCATATTGGTACAATAGGGGAATCCTCATTAGGCTTGAATGCAGGGGTCCATGCTTCAAATTTCATCATTTGCCCTTGAATGTACATGTGTTATTTGCCCCAGACAGTAGAGTGATCATACTCATTATCCAGATCAATATAAACTGTCCTAGCATTGAAATGAGCTATCTTTACTCCACCTCTAAGCTCAGTTTGGGCAATGAAGCTTTTCCTGATCATTTCCATTCTAGGCATAGTATTAGAAAATTTGCCCACTACAGTGTATTTGCACCTATCTGCAAATTTCACCATGTAATCTTCCTTCTTGAAATCAACAGCAGGTTGGCCTTGTTTGGTGGTTATTTTTGGAAGGGTGAAAGCAATTGGTTTTATCTCTGCCTCATGTCTAGCTCTGAGTCTGTTGACAAATGAGTGAGTGACAGTGGGAGGGGGTGGAGGCGTGTTGCCAGTTGGTGCGTTTTTGGTGGGAT